AGCCAATAAACCAAGCTATGAGTACCACACTGACACATAAACAAATGGAACGAATACACCAGAAGTACATCTATACACTCAAAGTCATCTGATCTTTGATAAAGGTGTCAAGAACACATGACTGCGGAAAGATAATTTGTTCGATAAATGATGCTGAGGAAATTAGATATCCACATGCAGAAGGATGAATTAAGATGCCTATATAATACCATATGCAAAATTCAATTCAAAATGGGTTAAAGACTTAAATATAAGACCTGAAGCTGTAAAACTACTAGGAGAAGCCAGGAAAGAGCTTCATGCTGACAACTGAGTTAGTTAATAAGAATATTGCTAATATTCTTTGGATGTGACTCTAAAAGCACAGGCAACAAAAGCAAAGATAGACGAATAGAATTGCAACAATCCAAAAAGCATGTGCACTGAAAAGGAAATAATCCATTGAGTGAAGACAAAACCTATACAAGTGGAAAAATTATTTGCAAACCACATATCTTATAAACTCAAAGTACCTAAGGAATCAAACAACACAGAAGCTGAATATTTATTCTTCAAAAGAAGACATACAAATGGCTAACATGTATATGGGGAAAATGCTCAATATCACTAATCATCAGGGAAATGCAAATTAAAACAACAAAGAAATATCTTCTCATACTTGTTAGAATGGCTAATATCAAAAAGACACAAAAGATGAGTGTTAATGAGTATGTGGAGAAAAGGGAATCCTTGCACACGGTTGATGGGAGTATTAATTGGTATTGCCATATGGAAAACAGTATGGAAGTTCCTCAAAAAACTAAAAGCAGAATTACCATCTTATCCAGCAATCCTACTTCTGGGAATATATCCACAGGAAATGAAATTAGTATGTCGAAAGTTATCTGCACTCCCATGTTCATTCTAGTGTTACATGCAATAGCCAAGATATGGAGTCAACCTAAGTATCTACCAACAAATGAAGGGATATAAATTGTGGTAAACATGCACAGTGAAATACTATGCAGCCTCAAAAAAGAAGGAAACTTATTTGCTACAACATGAATAAGCATAATGACTATTAAACTAAGTGAAACCAGCCAGGCACAGAAAGACAAACACTGAATGATTCATTTATATGTGGAATCTAAAAAGGTAGACAAACGGAAGCAGAGACTATAAGGAGGCTACCGGGGAGGAGAGTCAGTGCATGGAGACTATTGGGGAAGTAATGGTCAAGATTACAAAATTTCAGTTTGATAGGTGGAATGAATTCAGGAGATCTATTGTACAACAGGGTAATTATAGTTTTTTATAATTTATTTATTCATTTGAGAGATAGGGAAAAAGAGAGATAGCAGGGAGAGCTCCCACCCACTGAATCACTTGCTAAATGCCCATGAAGGACAATGAGCCAGAAACACAACCCAGGTCTTCCACTTAAGTGCCAGGAACCCAACAACCTGAACCATCACCACTGTCTCTCCCAGGAACCACAGGAAGCAGGAGTCAGGAGCCAGAGGCACTGATTGGATACTCTGAATACTGCAATCTTAACCACTAGGCCAAATGCCCACCCTGGTGATTATAGTTAAAAAGTTTATTATATAATTGAAAATTGCTAAGAGAACATTTGAATTTGTTCTCATTACAAAAATGGTATATTAATGATCTTGATTTAGTCATTCTGAAATGTTATAAATATATCAAAATACCATGTTGTATACCATAGATGTAATTTTTATTTTTCAATTAAAAATAATAATTAAAAATAATTAAATAAGGTGAAAATAAATACATTGTGTTGGAACAACTGGATACCCACTCAGAGACAGATGAAATTGGATCTGAATGTCATACCATATAACAATGATTAATTTCAGATGCATCATAAAGCTAAATTTTTTAAAAACCTGTATTTTGGGGGGATAGATCCCTAAAAGTGACATAATTGGAACAGAGTGAATAAAATGCAAAGCTCTTGATACATACTAGCAAACTTTTTTAGAATTGTTGCACTAATTTATATCTCCACATATGGTATAAGACAATGCCATTCTTATCAAGTCTAGTCAAGAAAGTGAATATTCTCTTTTTTAAAATATTACAATTTAGTAAAATATGTGCTTGTATTGTATAGCTTAAGCTTTAGGAAACCTCATTTAGCCCAACTTTTTCAAGGTGCTTGGAAGGGTCCTAAATACATGTTTTGGGAGTCAAATGTTTTGTAAAATTTATTTTTAAAATATTTTAAAATTATTTTTTAAAATGAGAACCCCCCCAGATTACATAATCTTCAGGCTCCACAGACCTAGATCAACTCTTTTTTTAGATTTTATTTAAGTTATACGAATTTCATGTACTTTATATATACAGATTTAGAAATATAGTGACACTTCTCCCTACCCTTCCTCCCATCCACACTCTAACCCTTCTTCCTCCTCCCTCTAACATTCCTACTCTTAATTTTTACAAAGAACTATTTTCAGTTTACTTAATGAATGTATAGTTAACCCTACACTAAGCAAAGGAGTTCAACAAATAGTATGAAAAGAGAGAGAGAAAAAAAATCACTGTTCCTCAACGGAAGAGACAAGGGCTGTGAACAATCATCGAATCTCAGAGTGTCTATTTCACTCTAATACATTACATTTCAGGTACTCTAGTAGTAGTATGAGCCATAAAATGGCCCTTTAGTATGTCACACCTGGACAAATTCAGAAATTTCACTACAGTTTAATCAGCATATACTATTATGATGACTTACATGTTTCTACTAGGGAAAAAAATCTCTAATAATGGAATTACCAGGTCAAGTACTCTGAACTCCCAATTTATTTTAGAAAGATTTTATTTATAGTGGTTCTGCCTCCCATACCCATCCTCCCACCCCCAAACTGTCCTACCTCCCACTCCCTCTCCCATCCTATTCTTTATTAAGATTCATTTTTAATTATATACAGAAGATCAACTCTACACTAAGTAAAGATTTCAACAGTTTGTACCCATACAGACACACATAGTATAAAGGACAGTTTGAAGACTAGTTTTATCATTAATTCTCATAGCACAACATATTAAGGACAGAGGTCTTACATGGGGAGTAAGTACCCCAGTGACTCCTGTTGTTGATTTAACAATTGACAGACTTATTTATGACGTCAGTAATCACCTGAAGCTCTCGTCATGAGCTGCCAAGGCTATGGAAACCTCTTGAGTCCACAAACTCCAACCTTATTTAGACAGGGCCATAATCAAAGTGGAAGTTCTCTCCTCCCTTCAGAGAAAGGTACCTCCTTCTTCGATGGCCCCTTCTTTCCACCAGGATCTCACTCACAGAGATCTTTCATGTAGGTCATTTTTTGCCACAGTGTCTAGGCTTTCCATGCCTGAAATGCTCTCATGGGCTTTTTAGCCAGATCCAAATACCTCAAGGGCTGATTCTGAGGCCACAGTGCTGTTTAGGGCATTTGCCATTCTATGAGTCTGCTGTGTATCCTACTTCCCATGTTGGATTGTTCTCTCCTTTTTAATTCTATCAATTATTATTAGCAGACACTGGTCTTGTTTATGTGATCTCTTTGACACTTATTCCTATATTTATGATCAGCTATAAACTTAAATTAATCACTTTAGTAAGATGCCATTGGTACCTGCCAACTTAATGGGATTTGGAGTCCCATGGCAAGTTTTAGTTTTGCCCTTAGGGGTAAGTCTGAGGGAATGTGTGTCAAACTGTACATTCCCTCCCTCTCTTATTCCCACACTTATTTTTAACAGGGATCAATTTTCAATTGGATTTAAACACCTAAGAATAATTCTGTGAACACCCAATTTTTAATAGATATTGAAAGACTGCCTGATAAAAAAGTTTATTGGATGCTCAATCCTGTCAACAACATATAAGCAGTAGGGAGATTCCTCAGAAATGTAAACATAAATCTACCATATGACCCAGCTATCCTGCTTCAGAGTATATATCTGAAAGAAATGAAATCAGCCTAGAAGAGAGAGACCTGCACTCCCATGTGAACTGCAGCACTATTCACAATTGCCAAGATACAGAATCAATTTAGACGTCCACCAAAGGGTGAATGGAGAAAGAAAATGTGATATGTGTGTGTGTATATGAATATTATTCAGGCATTAGAAAATGAAGCCCCTTCACTCTTAAATTCATTCAGTTTGAATGACGTATGATCACCCTAGACCTATTGAACTTTAAAACTGGCAAATGCTATCTCTTCAGGAGACCATTCTGGCCTCTGTCAGCCTCTGGTCTTCTGAAGCTACCTGCATTCACCATCCCTTCCCTCAGTACTAATCTGCAGTCACTCTTTCAGAACCCACAGAATTATGGGACAGCCCTCTAGATAGGGAGCTTCTTTGTGCAGGTGGATGTAGAAAGTGGCAATAAAGTATCAAAGTATTAATAAACACCTTGTGTTTAAACTTGTTGAAACACTCACGCACACAACCAAATTTGTAACCTGAGTGACTGTCCCTAACTGTCCAACATGTCCTAGATGGTGACAGAAGATCCTAGTATCAGAGGATGGACTGGGCAGGATGACCTTTCAATTCCTTCAGGATTGAGATTCTGTGATTACAGCAGCAACAACTGACACTTATCAAGAACTTACTGAGTGTTAGGGACAGCTCTAAAAATGTTACTCATGAAATATCATTTTGTCCTCAGAGTCACCCAATTAATTATTTAGTTACTATTATTAGATGACATTAATAAATGAGGAAACTAAGTCACGACAGGGCTAGCTATCCAATGTGACACGATAAACAAAGAAGCCCAGATTTTGACTAAGGCTAATTTGCGAACTCTTAAATCTCCCTTTTCTGCTGCTTTCTATCCTGTTATTTCGGACAGTGAAATGTGCCTACATTTTATAGATTGCATCTCCATTTTCTTTCTTAATAATCTTGATTATTTTCCTGAAAAGCTGCTCAATTTAAGGGGGGAAAAGGAATACACAAAATTCATGCAAGATTATTGGAAACTTTACCATTGAAGAAACTTCCTCCTCTTCTCTCTAGAAGATCTATCTTTTCAGTTTTCTATTCCTCATATCCTTTGGAAAAAGAAAACACATTTACCTTCTCAAATTCTAAGAAAAATCAATATTTTATCAAAATAGTTGATTCATACAGTAGTGTTTTGGTTCCTTTTTTTCAATTTATAAAAAACTGCATTTTCCTGGAAGCTTAAAGTCTTCATTGCATATGGGTTGACATTTTATCACATTTGTAAAAGTGAATCAGACATTCACTATTCTTTTTCTCTTAAAAAAAAAGGTCAATGAAAACATATCTAAATTTTTTAAAATGTTAAACACAAAAATCATCATAATTAAAGGATGTCTATTCTGATATTTTAATATTAGTGCTCTTAACATTTAGTGCTATTGTGACTTAAGGTAATACCAACTAGAGTACAAAGAGGAAAAGGTCAAGTATTTGATGGTAACCACAACACTAGCTGTCTCCAGTGACAGAAGGTTGTGGTTGTTCAATGAAACTATAATTTCAGCAAATCATCTTCGGAATTCATTTTCCAAGAAAGAAGTGTGGACCAAGAGTTATTATCCCCTTTCCCAGTGAGGAGCATATATGATGTTTTTAGGCTCCATATTTTCTTATTCCACAAGTCAAAAGTCTGCCTGCTCCATTTTTTGCATGAACACTCTTGAAACTACAACATGCCAGCTGGTGCTGTGGCTCACTAGGCTAATCCTCCATCTTGCAGCGCCGGCACACTGGGTTCTAGTCCCGGTCGGGGCACCGGATTCTGTCCTGGTTGCCCCTCTTCCAGGCCAGCTCTCTGCTGTGGCCAGGGAGTGCAGTGGAGGATGTCCCAAGTGCTTGGGCCCTACACTCCATGGGAGACAAGGAGAAGCACCTGGCTCCTGCCATCGGATCAGCGTGGTGCACTGGCCGCAGTGCGCCGGCCGCGGCGGCCATTGGAGGGTAAACCAGCGGCAAAGGAAGACCTTTTTCTCTGTCTCTCTCTCTCTCACTGTCCACTCTGCCTGTCAAAAAAAAAAAAAAAAAAAAAAAAAAAAAAAAAAAAAAAAAAACTACAACATGCCAAGAGGTCCAAACGATACTCATGAACCTCCCTCCATATTCACAGCCTCCTCTCTTGATCTCTGTGACACTGCTGTCTCTGACTTTCCCATTCTCTTCTCAATTCCTTTTGCAGGATTCTGTTTCCCTTACTCAACCCTTTAATAGAGGTACCCCCCTTGGGCTCTCTCATAGGTGGAAAATAATCTTGTCCTGTGAATTCTATTACATTTCAGTTCTTACAGAGAATCTAGTATAATGAGTTATTCTCAGTCTGTTAGTAGATAACTGTTTTTACCTAAAACAAATGCCCAACCTTGTGCTATTTTTTTGAAGAATTTCTCGTAGGTCACTGTGCTATAGAATTTAAAATGGAGAAAAATGGAAATGCAGCATCACTCTCTATATCCTCTGGTTTGATTTCAAACCTACGAAGAAGCAGCAATCACCGCGCTTCAGCTCCCCTCTGAAATAGCTTTTTGAAACACCACATGATCCCATTACTACTAAAACAGTTTCTCCCTAACAAGATCTAGGAGCTGGTAATGACTCCGTATGTGGATGTGCTTAACATTTCATCCCTGCCCTTCAAACTCTACGCTGCTCTATTTCAGATTTTGGTACCTAAAGTTTCGCTTCCAGGCTTTTTCACAACCCCTAGCACTCTGTCCCTGCAGCCCTGAGCACTACAATAATCGGGCCCCAGACCCCCAAAGTTATTTTTAATGGTATTATAAAGAGCCTTGCAGTACTCTTTCCCCTGTCATATTTTGATCTGTAATTTTTGTGGCCCAGTTACTCAGTGAGCAAGGGGCCATGGTCTGACTCCAGCTGGGGTTCTAGGATTTGATTCTGGCCAGAACAAGGACTCCCAGAAATTGTGGGAACTGAGCTAGAGGAAGCCAACAAGTGAGACTTGGTAAGGGGGAGCCTTGTAAATAAGGGAAAGTCTAAAGATTCAAAATGAGAAGAGACCGAGGTTATCCAAGGAACCAGGTAATGAATTTGGGAAAAGCCTGCAAAAATTTCTAAAGGCAAAAGTCAGTTTTTTATTGAGTTGCCTTTGTGAAGTGGGAATTGGGGGGAAAGGGGTAGCTATTAAATCCCTAACTGGGTTGAAAAATTTTAACTCTTCTCTATCAGTATTGTTGTTTCACCATTCCTAGATATTGAGGTTACAAAAGTGTATCTTAGAAACAAGAATGAATTCTGTTGTGTTTTCTACTTGCTCTTTAATTTTGATGCTTGAAATAAGTAAGGGAGGGGCTAGCGCTGTGGCATAGCTGGTAAAGCCGCTGCCTGCAGTGCCGGCATCCCATATGGGTGCTGGTTTGAGACCTGGCTGCTCCAATTCCAATCCAGCTCTCTGCTATGGCCTAGGAAAGCAGTGGAAGATGGCCCAAGTCCTTGGGCCCCTGCAACTGCATGGGAAGACCCAGAGGAAGCTCCTGGCTCCTGGCTTCAGATCAGTGCAGCTCTGGCCGTCGCGGCCAACTGGGAAGTGAACCAGTGGAAGGAAGACCTCTCTCTCTCTCTCTCTCTCTCTGCCTCTCCTTCTTTCTCTGTGTAACTCTGACTTTCAAATAAAATAAGTAAATCTTAAAAAAAAAAAAAAGAAAGAAGGGAAAGATTTCCAGCTCTTAATTACTGAAAATGGCATCTATCAAATAAATAAAAACACTTACCAGTATTCCAGTTGTGAACACGAACTGTTTCTTGTCTTCCATAAAAATAGGCATGACGTCTGTTCAAAATGATGGTGAATGTAGAGTCAGGTATATTTTCAGAATAGTTAAGATAATACTTGGAATTATTTTATTTCACTAAGTAGACTACATTAAGGCAATATTTTGTTATTATTGATTCATTTTTTAAAGATTTATTTATTTATTTGAAAGTCAGAGTTACACAGAGAGAAGAGAGGCAGAGAGAGAAAGAGAGATAGGTCTTCCATCCGATGGTTCACTCCCCAGTTGGCCAAAATGGCTGGGGCTGCACAAGTCCGAAGCCAGAAGCCAAGAGCCAGGAGCCAGGAGCTTCTTCCAGGTCTCCCATGCAGGTGCAGGGGCCCAAGGACTTGGGTCATTTTCCACTGCTTTCCCAGGCCACAGCAGAGAGCCAGATTGGAAGTGGAGCAGTCGGGTCTTGAACCGGCACCTATGGGATGCCAGCACTTCAGGCCAGGGCGTTAACCGGCTGCGCCACAGCACCAGCCCTATTCTTGATTCATTTAAGTTCTCCTTTTATCTACCCACCAGGAGAATATAAGCTTTTGATTAAGAAAAACAAAATTGGGGTGGCATTGTGGTGTAGTGACTAAAGCCACTGCCTATAATGCCAGCATCCCATATGGGTGGGTGTAAATTCATGTACCAGCTGCTCCATTTCCAATCCAGCTGCCTGCTAATGGCCTAGGAAAAGCAGTGGATGATGGCCCCAGTATTTAGGCATCTGCCACCCATGTGGCAGACCCAGTTAAAGCTTCTGGCTCCTGGCATTGGCCTAGCCTACACCTGGCTGTTGTGACCATCCAGGGAGTGAACCAGCTGATGGGAAATATCTCTCTCTCTATTCCTCCCTGTAACTCTGACTTTCAGATAAATAAATAAATGTGAATTATATTATAAAAATAATATAATGTATTATATATTATTATATATAATTTATATGTCATATAGTTATGTAATTATTATAAATAATATATTTTAATTAATATTTGAAATTAATAATTTAATGTGAATATCAATAAGTTCACAACAGAATTAATAATTGCTTGTTTATGTGACTGTGTCTACTTAGTGGGATGTAAACTCCATGAAGGTAAGGATCTGATCTTTCTTGCCTATTGTAATATCCCTAGTGAAAATGACACCGCCTAGAGCATAACAAGTAATAAATATTTGCTGAAAGAACAGCTGAGAGTCAAGGAGACAGTGAGTACATGGGCAGTCAACACTTATATTCTCTAAACTTTAGAACCTTTAAAAGTAGTTTAATTTTTATGATCATATCTGCTGGGTAGCTAGAATATTAGGCCAAATGTAGCAATCAACAATTTAGTACTTCACTGGTCATACAAGGGTATTTTTAAAAAGAAATCCTGACATTTCTACAACCCAACTAGGACTGTTGGGTTGTGAAATACAGTATGTCCGTAATAGGACAAATCCCTCTACTAGAATATGGTGTCCATTGAATTAACAAGGTCGAGAAGATCTCTAGAAGAAACTTTTAAAATGAGATGGTGGTTGAAAGACTAAGTTAAAACAGAACTGAGTACAACTGTTGGATCATATTTACAGACAGGATTCAAAGTTTTTCTTTTAAATTAAAGATAAAAGAAGGTTCAGTGATGAATATTTGCTCAGGCCCCAACTCTTATGGGTATAATTTGTCATTTTACTCATAAGTATTATACAAAAAAGTGCTGACACAGAAGCCAAGTTCCTGGAAAATATAAAAAAGAAAATAAATAAAGGCTTCTGTAATGCGTTGAATTAGTTCTTTCTTCTTGTTTGTCTTAGAGACAAAAAATAAGAAATATCTCCCATCTTACTCTGTCCTTATATGTTAATAAAGAAAGGATGTAAAGTCTCAAAGCCAGAAAAACATGAAGTCCAAGACAAAGTAAAGATTTTTAATAAGCAAACAGAACATCTGGCCAATTTTTATCATTTTTTAAGCACATAGTATTTACAGATGGGCCTGTTAGTATGCTTCTTTCTTATCTTTGGGTCTGGCTATCTGATTATGGGTACTTCTTGTAAAAAGTGCAAAATCTGAAAAAAGAAAATAGTAAGTTCTAGGCTGCAGGAAGATGGGGATAAAACAAATTTGTAAACATAGATGGCCTATTGGGGCCAGCGCTATGGCATAGTGGGTTAAGCCTCCACCTGTGGCGCCAGAATCCCATATGGGCACTGGTTCTAGTCCTGCCTGCTCCTCTTCTGAACCAGCTCTCTGCTATGGCCTGGGAAAGCAGTGGAAGTTGGCCCAAGTGTTTGGGCCCCTGCACCTGTGTGGGAGACCCAGAGGAAGCTCCTGGATCCTGGCTATGGATCGGCCCAGCTCCAGCTGTTGCAGCCATTTAGGCATTGAACTAAGTGGACAGAATTCTTTCTTTCTGTCTCTCCCTCTTTCTGTCTATAACTCTGCCTCTCAAATAAATAAATAAATAAAATCTTTAAGAAGAAAAACACATATGGCCTATGGAAATACTTTCCAAATCTTTTGTGAAATTCCTTTGAAAAAATTACTTGAGGCAAAAGGGAGAAAAATGAGTCTAAAAAGAAGATGTGGGATCCAGAATGAAGTGAAACTTATTTTTCTGAGTTAGAACAGAAGTCAGAGGACTCCCAGAAGAAAGTCTATAGGAAAAAATGTGCAAGGGTCTTCAAAAAGTTCATGGAAACTATATATTATATAAAACATGTAAATGAATTAAACATTCTTGTACCAAAATAAACATTTTTAATTTCATTTTTCTGTCAACATTTTAAAGTATCCTCATATTTTAAGATACAAAGTTGAATGAACACAGTGATGAGAATCAACATATGTGTTTTTAATAACAAAATTAATCAAGATAATTTTAATCTCTAGTGCAAAATATGGATGGCAAAATTGCCATGTAAACATGGAGCAAGTTGACATACAACATGGTTTTGAGTAATGGAGGTTAAGGAAAGAATCCATTTGATCTTGACACTCGTTAATGCTCTTTCAAGCAAAAAAGTTAGTGACATAGAATTATATTTCCTACTTCTATGGTCCTTCAGTGAGCAACAGTTACACAATCAATAATATGCTTCAGTTTCTTTAGTAGTTTAGAAATTTTAGACTCATACTACAGAGTAAGCATTTTAGAATATAATTATAGCCACAGAACTGAATGAAAATGTTACACACTTGGCAAGGTCAAATTAATGAGAAAGCTTACGGAGTTTGCAAGATAGAGGGAGGCGAGGACAGATGGAAGAAAGTAGAGGGATTCAATTTTTTTTCCTTAGGATAACAAAAAAAAAAAAACATGCAAAGCAGAAGAAAAGTTTTCAGCTTTCATGATGGGGAGTCAACAGATAACATCTAATGTTAGCAAATCCTGAAGAGAAGACTTGAGTATACTTCAAAAGTTCGTGGAACAATGGAATTAAAGTTTATTTTGTGGCAAAAAATTTTGAAGTCCATATACAGTTTTTTCATAATATAAGTTTTTCACAAATTTTTTGAAGATCCTTATGTGGATTTCAAACTTTTTGCACCAAAATAACATATTTTAATTCTTAAAATTATAATAATTATAACATTACACATATAACCATATTATTAATATTAATAATATATTAGTATCTATATACTATAATTTTATATAAGTAATAACATTTATTATATATAACTATGAAATATGATTAGATCTTATAAAATTTTTAAAACTTTTTTCACATGAATTTTTGAAGTACCCTCATACAACCAGAATTAAATACATGGAGATAACCAAGAGAATACAAACAGAACTGTGCTGACAGGATTACTTCTGGGAAGGAAGTGTTAGAGGTGATGGCGGGGGTGGGAATGTTTTTTCTTTTCATTTTACACTTTTCTGTACTTTTTTGACTTTTTCTCCTCAGCAGGTAAATATATTGTTTTTATTACATAAAAACATCAGTATTTCCTACTAACTAGCTTAGCACTTTTGTTACTGATATTATCACCAAGTATATTCTTACGAAGACAAAATGAACATACTGCTGCAGATAAAGGTGATAGGCACAGCAATACCAAAGGAGCGCAGAAACTAAGATCGCAATAAGGACAAGCATCAGGATTCCAAACATGTCAACTGAAATGTAGCAAAGGAAACATGCAGATCATTAATGCTGTCTCATGTTTTCATCTTTTCTAGTATCATGCAGTCTGATTTTTAGATACACATTCACAAATAATTACTAAAAATGATACAAGAGCATGCATTATTTATTCCAATAAAACTACCATTAACACAATTATCAGTAACATTTGAAAGTAATCTGGGTTGCTGAAAGGAGGTACTACTTGAGTCCTTTGTCCCCAAGTGGGTATGCTATTGGACACTGGCTTATTTTTTTTACAAACCCCAGATGCATTTCTGGTACTTTCCTCAACAGATAAAATCTCAGATCCCTCAGGCTGCCATTTTATGAAGATCCGTACAGATATCAGAGAAGGCTTGCTGTTTGTGTTTCAGGAGTTCATTATCCAAGAGACAGCCCAGTGCTTGCTGGGAAGGCAGATTTCTAACATTTATAAACTTTTCCCCCTCAATACTGTGTTGCTTATTAGCCTGGTGTATTATAAAATGAAACTAGAATGGGCCAATGCTGTGACACAGTGGGTTGAATGCCTGCAGCACCTGGCATCCCAAACGGCCACCAGTTCGAGTCCTGGCTGCTCTTCTTCCGATCCAGCTCTCTGCTAATGGCCTGGGAAAGCAGTATAAGATGGCCCAACTCCTTGGGCCCCTGTACCCATGCAGGAGACGCAGAAGGAGCTCCTGGCTCCTGGCTTCAGCTCAGCTCATCTCTGGCTGTGAGGGTCATTTGGGGAGTGAACCAGCAGAATGAAAGACCTCGCTCTCTCTCTGGCTCTACCTCTCTCTGTAACTCTGTCTTTCAAATAAATAAAATAATTCTTAAAAAAAAAAAAAGAAACTAGAAGGGGAAAATATGAGATAAGAGCAGTTTCTTAACTGCTTTCTAAGCTACCAACACATATGACTTAAGCAATTGGTAATAACAGAAAGAAACAGATTTGAGGGCAACTCTAGATTGGGTTTTCACATATAGTTGGAGTTCAACTGGAAAAGCCTTTTGCTTCAGCTTTTTGGAAAACTCCTTAACATGAGTCCATTTGCTGGCCTTGGTAAGTACAACAAAACACACCAAAAGTCTGACATTACAAATACAGATAATTTAAAGATTATTTGGTGATATGTCCAGTCCTTGGTAGTTGTCAGTCTGAATGGCAATTCTCAGGATGGAATATGTTAGCTGAGGAAATATAAGTGTGGCTGTGCTACTGAGTTCAATATATCCTCAGTCCAGGACTAGTTTATAAGAAAGTCTTGGAGTTTCTTTTTTTCTTTTCTTTTCTTTTTTTTTCAAGATTTTTTCACTTGAAAGACAAAGTTACACAGAGAGGCAGAGATAGAGAGAGAGGTCTTCCATCCTCTGGTTCACTCCCCAGATGGCTGCAAAGCCCAAAGGAAGCCAGGAGCCAGGAGCCAGGAGTTTCCTCTGGGCCTCCCACACTGGGTGCAGGAGCCCAAGGACTTGGGCCATCCTCCACTGCTTTCGCAGGCCACAGCAGAGAGCTGGATCAGAAGAGGACTGGATCAGTCCTGGACTAGAACCGGCACCCACATGGGATGCCGGCACCCCAGGCCAGGGTGTTAACCTGCTGTGCCACAGTGCCAGCCCCAAGTCTTGGAGTTTCTAAAACAACATGAGATTTGGGGAGTGGACCAAAGGACAGAGGACTTCTCTCTCTCTCCCTCTGCCTCTGCCTCTCTGTAACTCTGCCTTTCAAATCAATAAATAAATCTTTTTAAAAAAAAAAAAAGTTTATGGGAAAATGGAATAAAAGACAAGTTGTTTATTTTGGTGCCAAAAACAAAAAACAAAAAACCATGAGAATATAAACATCCCTAAACTGAGCTACAGATTTCACACACCAGAGATTTTTAGAAATGAATTTAAAAGTATTTTAGCAAGTGGGATGAGAAAGCATGCACCTGTCAGAAAGAATGCTGATTTGATTTAAACCAATACTGGCTGCAAACAAACAATAAGCCTGAGTCAGTGAGAAAGCTGATAAACAGCCCTAGACTCCCTACAGTTTCATAAAGCAAATATTATAAAAATTTATAATTCTTCAAATGTAACAAATCATTATCATGTTCTAGTCAATTGAAATAAAGAACATCAAAATTTGAATAAAAAGAACTCAACTCACTTTTACAATTTGTCCAATATACAGCACTGATTCGACACCCAAAATATGGAAAACAATATGCTTTGCAGATCCTGTCTTCATTGCACCAAACACACTGTAATTGGAAAGAAAAAAATAAAAGTAATGTTCCAAGTATAACAATAAATATCTCAGTAAGTTTTCAGTACTACTTCTGTAAGTATTCATTAAGTAAGAGTGATCATCAGCATTACTATTTTTTCATTATTATATGAAGTAGACAATATTGGTGGCCTAACCAGGCTCACGCACCCAAACCTCACCCACACTGTTAACCACCAATGCCTCACCCTTGCCCTCTTTTTGAATGGCTGCCCTTGGTGGATGAGGATCACCTTACCAGTGACTGGTAGAGGTTTCCAAACCAGGTGAACACCCATTCCCCTCTTGCTCTTCTCCAGATAATCATGTGAAAATAGGAAAACTGTATTCAAAGTTCCTTGCTGAAGTAAACAAAAGCAATGGTGGAAAACAGTGTGGGAAATAAAACTAGAACTTGGTCTTCCCCCGAATAGTTAAAAAAAAAAAAAAACTGAAGACAGAATGGTAAAAATGGTTCCCACTCACAGAGGGTCTCTCATGTGACAGGTCCTGTTCTAAGTCCTTCATCTGTATCAGCCCACTTCATCCTCATGACAACCCCATGAGCTGGGTACTGCTATGTCCACCATATAGATGAGGATAGTAAGGCACAGAGCAGTTAAATGACTTCTATGATACGGTCACACAGCTAGGAGATGGAGGAGCCAGGGTTCTAACCTAAGCAGTCTGCTTCTGTGCTGGTAAAGACTGATCTCATGGCCGGCGCTGCGGCTCACTAGGCTAATCCTCCGCCTGCAGCGCCGGCACCCAGGGTTCTAGTTCCGGTTGGGGCGCTGGTTCTATCCCAGTTGCTCCTCTTCCAGTCCAGCTCTCTGCTGTGGCCCAGTAAGGCAGTGGAGGATGGCCCAAGTCCTTGGGCCCTGCACCCCTGTGGGAGACCAGGAGGAAGCACCTGGCTCCTGGCTTTGGATCGGTGCAGCATGCCGGCCGTGGAGGCCATTTGGAGGGTGAACCAATGGAAGGAAGACCTTTATCTCTCTCTCTCTCTCACTGTCTAACTCTGCCTGTCAAAAAAAAAAAAAAAAAAAAAAAAAAGAAGAAGAAGAAGAAGAAGAAGAAGACTGATCTCAGATCCCTGCCAGCCACTTCTTGCTGTATATCCTGAGATTAGCAGAGGTAGTGATTGGCCTAATGTAAAGAACCACCCAGGGGGCCGGCACTGTGGCGTAGTGGCTAAAGTTGCTGCCTGCAGTGCTGGCATCCCATATGGGTGCAAGTTCGAGTCCAGGCTGCTCTACTTCTGACCAAGCTCTCTGCTATGGCCTTGGAAAGCAGGGATGATGACCCAAATCCTTGGGCCCTTACACCCATGTGCGAGACCCAGAGGAAGCTCCTGGCTCCTGGCTTCTGATCGGCTCAACTTCAGCCATTGGGGCCAACTGGGGAGTGAACCAGCTGATGGAAGACCTCTCTCTCTCTCTCTCTCTGCCTCTCCTTCTCTCTGTGTAACTCTGACTTCCAAATAAACAAATATTAAATAAATAAATACATAAAAAAAGAACTCTTTTTTATTTAACCCCTGTGACACTGCCTAAAAACAGGAAATATGTCACAATCACTTTTTTTTAACTAAGATCAAAGGCCAAGTGAAGGCACTTAGGCTGAATGGGTCCTGTGCTCCCTGACTGTTGTTTAAAGACTGGAACTGCAAAGATAAGGCTGAGATTCAAGGACTATAGCCCCTAGAGACTTCCGTCCTTAGCTATTAGTTCTCGGAGTCTCTGTGAATCAAGCTCACACCAGCTGGATGGATTGTAAAGGAGATAACTGCCAGACTATAGCAGACAGGGTTTGCTTGTTACTCGAGTGCTAAGCTGACTCCCAGGCCCCAGCAACCAAGTCCAAGCAGTTGAGCTCCTAAAAAACTTCAGCCCTCAGAAGATATTCTCCTCTATGCCTCTCCTTGATAGGGGCTCAGAAAGCAATGGAAAAGGGAGGTCCTTCAGTTGGCCATGCCTGAGACAGATTGGTAACCAACAACCCACTGCTTAGCCAAAGAAACTGAACAGAATATGTTACATACACAGAATACATTACAGAACAATTCACTTCCATCTTCTTTTCTAAACAGGAATTTGTAACTGCAGTTACGCTGGTGAATAGTGGGTCTCAGGGGGTTGATTTAGTTGACTGTATAGCTGACTTCAAGGAGTGTGAGGAGCCACATTCAAACACAAAAGAGACTAATGCACATCTGTGTGGGATTTCAGACTTAGAACTGAGGGCAAGAGCCAACACTGACATTGTATAAGTACAGTTTTGGTTGTGGGGAGCAGGGCCCAGTGGGGAGCAGGGCCCGTCTCCCGTAACATGGCAGGGCCCATCGCCCAGGAGACAAATAAGTACTAAGACTGTGGACAAATAAATACTGAGGACAAATACTGAGATTACCAAGACTAGACTAAACTACTGGAACTGCTAAGACTAACTCTACGCATCTGATCTCCCACCGTATGGCGCTGAGAGGGAGTAAACAACTTCCACACAGCTGCCTCACCAATTCGACTAACAAGCTGCAGGAGCTAATCTGCCCCTGATTGGAGGAGAGCAGCGTGCTCAGCGCGTGGGGAGAGAACGCCAGCAGAGTTGGGATTGGTGGAAGAGGACTATAAAGGATGAGAGAGACAACATGCAGGAGGAACATCTGAGGAACCCCTGAGAGAGCCGGCCGGTGGTGTGCCACTCCTCCGCGGAAGCGGGGGAAGCAGCGGGGGTGCCGCCCCTCCGCGGAGGCAGGGGGGGCGGCAGCTAATCCAGGGAGGACTGGGGAAAGAAACAACAGCAAATCTGTTGCCGCTCCTCCGCGAGCCTGTGGAGCGAGCGACATTGGTTGAGGGCTAGTTGCATTATTTTTTTAGGATTTTTTTTAATGTGAGGATGGGGGAAACAAAATACACATGTCAAAGGGTGAAATGAAATAGACTTGTACAACTAATTTTTAAAATGTCTGTCTGTCTTGCATCATAATTCTTTTTCTGGTAACCATGCCTTCCTTCTTTCTTGGACTTCTTCCACCAATCCTGTGTGGTTCTCTAGACGTCAGTCAGCTTTGTCTCAACCCTTTCTGGTTGCTGGAGTGATCATTTGACCCAGGCATTGGCACTTGGGTATCTTATCCCTTTGGCCCAGTAACTAATGCAGAACCAAAACATTACACCCCAACAGGGCCAATCAGAATCTTCTCTGGAGTTGTATGTGGACATTGCATGAAATCTGTTGGCAGCCAGCACCTTCTGCAGCTGTATGGAGAATGTTCACTTTCCACAGGAAAATGAGGTCAATATACAGAGAAAGGCAGAGTTAGGAGATAAAAGGAAAGAGAGAAATGAGAATGACATCTTTTAGTTTCCACTGTTCATGAAGCCAAGGCCACCCGTGGACTTCCCAATTTTATGAGCCAATGAATTCCTCTTTTTATTAAATTACAGTTGGATTTCTGTCCTTCAACCACAAAGATGTGACTAATACCTTAACCAAGTCTAGAAAGTCTTCAAAGACCAGAAATTCACATTGCCCAGAGGAACAGCACAATATATTCAGCATCCCTAAATTGGTAATGTATAATTTAAGACAAATTACATGGATTTTTTTTCTTGTAGCAAAGGAAGATGACACATATAAATATGAAGTCTTGCCGACCTCGGCCTCAGGAGTGTGACAACTGAGAAGCCAACTCAAGGCTTCAGGGTGATGGTTATCACTGCTCCATGGGGAATCTAGAGTGCCCATTTTTGGATAGAACTCTTAATAAGCCTATATGGACATCATATTGATACTTTAATAAGAAAATTCCATGAAAATTAAAATGCAGGAAGTAGAGAGAGGTACATGGTAATGTTTCATGGTGTGTTAGCATAGAATGGTTTAATATTATACTGGCAAAGAACTAGAAAATGAATGTTCCTGTGCATAGGAGCTTTTTTTAAGTAGTGAGTATTGAGAGGAACAAAAGAACATTTATTTACAATTCATTTATGGGCTAGATGGAGCAGCTTATGCAGATGTTTAGAGCACTGTTTCTGCTTTCTGGAGGGTGAGAATTTAATTGGAAGGTACAGTAGGTACACAGCACCAAACAACAATGTAAATCTGTAAATGGAAAATTATTTTAATTTGAAAATTAGTGGAAGAGATATAAAGTGTAATAGCAGTAAAGAAAAATATCACCTCTAGTGGGAATGACTACATAAGATTTCTTTCAGGGGATAACAGATTTGGGTTCTCACAAGGAATAGGTAAAATCTGTAAAGAAAAAGGGAAGTCCTTAGATATAGGCGATACGGCAGGGGGAAAGGGAAGGCATCGCGGTGGCGAGAATGAAAATCTCTCATGGTGAAGCTCTTGAAAATCTTGAAAATCTTTCATGGAGGAACAATTTGAAAGCTAAACTTCTCCTGGATTATCATGGGCTTTGGAATGTCAGACCAACTAAGGAGTTTGTGTTTTATTTAACAACTGGGAGTCAATCCTGGTTCAGAAGAAAAGTGAGGGAACCGGAACCTGACAGATGGCTTAAACTTCTCAAAGAAAATCCAACTCCAAAAGGAGAGGCATGCTAATATGCAGGTCAAGTATTGGAAATAGTTGCTATGAAAAATAATCCACAACACTTGTTCTCAATATTTTTTCAAGAAAAGAATAAGAAAAAGGCAAAATGAGATAGAAATAGGGGGAATAATGTATTTGAATAATAAATAAATCAAAATCTTGGCTTTGCAACAAAAATTCTACAATACAAGAAAACTTTTAAAAGTTCACTGAAAATGGAGGAACTCAAACAACTCAATAGTAAAAAAGCAAATAATCCAGTTCAAAATTGGGCAGTAGGGCCGGCGTTGTGGTGTAGCAGGTAAAGCCTCTGCTTGCAATGCCAGCATCTCATATGTGTGCAGGTTTGTGTCCTGGGTACTCCACTTCCAACCCAGCTCCCTGTTAATGGCCTGGCAAATAGCAGCAGAAGATGGCCCAAGTGCTTGGGCTCCTGCCAGCCATGTGGGAGACCTGGAAGAAGCTCCTGGCTCCTGGCTTTAGCCTGGCCCAGGACCAGCTATTGCAGCTATTTGGGGAGTAAACCAGGGAATGGAATATTCCGCCCTCCTCTCTGGAACTCTTTCACATAAATAAATAAATCTTTTAAAAAACTGGACATTATATCTAAGCAGACATTTTTCAAAGGACAGCATACAAATGGACAATAGATTCATGAAAAAATGCTCAACATCACTAATCAGGGAAATGCAACACAAAACCACAAGGAGATATCATCTCACCCCAGTTAGAATGACTATACCAAAATGACAAAGACAGTAAGGTCTGGTGAGTATGTGGAGAAAAGGGAATCTCTGTACATTGCTGAAATATAAATCAGTCCAGTCACTGTGGAAGACTTCGTGGAAGTTCCTCAAGAAACTAAAAGCAGTACTACCATGTGATCTGACAATCCCACTAGTGAAGATATATTCAACGGAAATAAAACCAGTCTGTCAAAGAGACATGAACTTGCGTATTTTGTGTAGTACTATTCACAATAGTCAAGAAATGGAAACAACCTGGATACCCATCTACTGATGACTGAACATAGGCAATGTGGCGCATTACACAATGGAATATTTATCAGCCATTAAAAAAAGATGAAATCTTGTCATTTGCAACAATGTGGATGGACTAGAAGTTGTTATACTAAGTGAAATAAACTAAGCATATAAAAACAAGTATTGCATGACCTCACTCATGATAAAAGACAGTGATCATATAGAAGCTAAAAACATAATGGTGGCTACCAGAGACTAGGAAGAGGAGATGGGATAAGGCAAAGTTCATTAACAGGTATTATATTACAGTTAGATAGAATAAGGAGGCTGGGGTTCTATTGCATAGTAAGGTGACTATAGCTAATATTAATGTACTTTATATTTCTCTACTTATAAAAAAAATACCGGGGGCAAGTATTTGGTCTAACAGATAAGACACCAGTTAAGATGCCTGCATCCCATGTCAGAGTACCTGTTTTCTGTACCTGCCTCTGGCTCCTCATTCTAGCTTCCTGCTAAGCAGGAAATGACAACTCAAGTAATTGGACTCCTGACCCTGACATGGGAGATCTGGATGGAGCTCCTAACTCCTGGCTTTGCCCCCACCCAATCCATTGTGAATACATGAGGAGTAAACTAGCAGACGGAAAGTCCTTCTCTCTGTTTATGTGTCTCTCTGCCTCTCAACGAAACAAAGAAAAATGAGTACAAAGATCATGTGGTACTTCATAAATATGTGTAATTTTAGGTATCTGTAAATTTTTTTAAAAAATGAGGTAAGACTATCAAACTAGCCACAGTTTTTGTAAACTTGAATGGAATATTGGATCTAGGCAAGAAGCTACAGTAGTACTAACAGCACCAAGTACTAGACAAGAGCCCTTACTGACCTCCTAATGAAAGTGTTCAGCATAAAGTGTTCCTACCAAGAAATTAGACTGAATCTGATCACGTATCTATATTTAGTTATCAGTTCTTCTAACAGAAGAACAGGGAAAAAAGGAACAAGATAAAAGCCATTATAGATATGTGGATGTGACCAGTAAAATTGATACTATGGGAACTCCAATATGATAAACAATCCAGTTTCTGCAAAAAAATAAGTGCATACACAAAAAAAGAGAAGGAGAAAGAACACAGATTAATAGAAACTTAAGATACATATCAGCCAATTGCAAGGTATAGATCTGACTCAAACAAAAAAATATGAAATAACAAGACAAATGGATTATTTCTAGGGTGCACAATGGCAATAAGTAGTTATTAATTTTTAGGTATAATCATGAGTTTGTAACATTTGAAATATATCAAATATGTAATGTATATTCACAAACAGAATGAATGGTTTTTTAAGGGTTGTGCAAAGCTCTCTGTGGCAAAAAGTGATACTACTTCCCTCGTTCCTTATGGCACTTCTGTTTTCTTCCAAATCTAAAGTGAAGAATAAGGATGTCAGACATTAAATCACCAGCGAAGGGGACCTCACTAGGTTGTGGTTAAGGAATAATGTGTCATTCCTTCCAGTGGCAGAGATTAGAAGTGGCAAAGAACTTTTCACTACATCTCAACAGGCATATATTTTCCTTTACTTACAAAAAATTCTTCCAAGATTTCAGTATGATTTTTCTCAAGCAGTAAATTTTTTGTTTTTGAAGTATAATTTTCTGGTAGGAAGGATGTGTCTGTACAAAATTATTACCATTGTTTATTTCTAGATTCTCAAAATTGGTTTGAAATACTAAAATAGATCATAACTATTTTGGTCATTTCTATTATTTAAAATGGTGTTTGAGCAATGCTTAGCATATCTTTTGGATGACAACTACACATCCTGTGACATTACAACATTTTTAAGACAATTTCCTCACAAAGAAGTTAACTTACTTTCTTATCCTGTGCGCACGATTGACAATTTTTCTTTTGAGCACATGCTACAAGAAAAAAAATTATAAAAATGTAAAACCAAAGCTCAATTTTATATAAAAGTGAACCCAATTGCTTGATTTTATATAAAAATCCATTTCATTTAGTCATTCCTGCCGCTAGCCATATTCACCCATCCCCCAGAGTTCTGCTTTATTGTTTTCATATATCTAGATACTTTTCCCACTGATACTATTTAAATATTAACTGAATTTTCTCCTATTACTTGGAAACACATGAAATGGTATCATCTAACTTAGATTAGTCAAGTTCCAAATACAAGTATGGTAAAACAAATTTGCAATATCTCTGTAAGCTTAAAGCATCATTATCTGTTATTCAGCATAGTAGTGCCAACATATTACTGGTTAAGTATTTCTTTAAATATAAAATACAAATTAACTATCCTGTTTTGCCATAAAACTTTTAAAACTTCCTCCAAATGAGGATTTTCACCATTCTTGTTTTGTAAAACAAAACTAATATGATTTATTATGAAGATATTTATATATGAAAGTTCTATCAGTTTGGAAACTATGAGTTTGAACAAAAACATTTTGATGGATCAACATCTTCTTGAATAAATTAATGGAATTAATGGCTTAGTTACTCTGTGATACAATAATGGTCAAATCACTTTCTCTACTTTCACAGGCTCTGTGGGAAAGGTCAGACCTTTCTATTTAATTTCAAATTGTGTGGTTGGATGCAGATCTGATTTGGCTATGAAAAGAAACTTACAATTCAGTTTTCCAATTACATCCTATTGAATGTTACTTCAAGTGTCCTTGAAGTCTCTATGGGAAAGTTGAGTAGAAGAAAAGGCAAGGGAAATGGGGAAGGTTCCACTGCTTCAGTTCTGTCAGGGGCAGCTGGCCTTAGGCTGATTTCAAGAGGCGGAAGCAGAGAAACAAATGGCCCATGACTTAGTCACCATTCTCCAAGCTCTACTTGCTTCCCATAGCTTATTTTCTGTTAACTAAAGTTTTTGTTTTGGAATAACTCCAGGTTTACAGAAACATTTCAAACATTACACAAGGCATTCCCATTTACCCCTCACTCAATCTCCCTGTTGTGAACATTTTACTCTACACCATGGTACTTTTATCAAAACTAAGAAGCCAACCCCGGTGCATCACTTTTTAAAGATGATTTCACAGTTTTTATATTAATCCTGTTTTCCAAGATCCTACCACACTGTATTTAATCGCTATGTCTCATCTGACCCACAAGTCTTTTTTATTTTTCATGACCTTGACAGTATTGAGTAGTACTGGTTAGATATTTTGTATGATGCCTCTCAATTTGGATTTGTCTGATGCTTTTCCCATGATTATATGGAGAGATGGATTTTGGAGAAGAACACTGTGGAGGTGAATTTGTCTCCACAACACATTATATCTGTGAATGGCCAGATCTGGTTCCATACCGGCAGTTTAGATTGAGCATCTGTATAATTGGCCAACAATCTCCTTAATAATTATTCTTGCTGTAATTGGAAAACCAGTGCTGCATGAATCAGTATGCTCTTTCTTTCATTCTATACCCCAAAAAGGCAGGTTAAGCCATTTCTACAGTATTGTCATGTACAAGGTTCCTCACCCTAATGGCCTAATGTTTGTATATTTGCTTTTTATTTGGTGACTTTGTCTTGATTACATTTTCATGACTTCTGCAGCATTGTTCTTTCCGTGTTCTCTTGGGAAACCTCTGGCCAACTCTTTTTGCATTTCCTTTACTGATTCCACTTCATCTATCACTGTTAAACATGTTGTTATCATATTCTTCATCTCATCTTCTTCCCTCCTCTCCCCTCCTCTTCCCTACCTTCCCTTCCCTTTCCTCCCTTTGCCTTCCCTTTCCACCCTTCCCCTCCGCTCCCCTCCCCTCCCTTCCCTTCCCTTCTCTTTTCCCATGAAAGATCACAATTTCAAGTGTCTAGAGATGCCCACCATTGTAATATATTATGCCATATATCAAAACAAAACTTTCTTTTTGATTGGATTGTAATGGATTAATAAATTAATAACTTAAAAAAATAACGTTTACCTGGAAGTAAATTCTTTCAATAACATCCAAGAAAAAAATACAGAATAGATAATAAGATTTTGGGGCTTGCACTGTGGTGTAGTGGATAAAGCTGCCACCTGCAATGCCAGCATCAGATATAGGTGCCAGTTCGAGTCCCTGCTGCTCCACTTCCAATCCAGCTCTCTGCTATGGCCTGGGAAAGCAGTAGAAAATGGCCCAACTCCTTGGGCCCCTGCACCCACTAGGGAGACCCAGATGAAGCTCCTGGCTCCTGGCTTCAGATCCGCAGCTCCAGCCGTTGCGGCCAATTGGGGAGTGAACCAGCGGATGGAAGACCTCTCTCTCTGTGTGCCTCTCCTTCTCTCTGTGTAACTCTGATTTTCAAATAAATAAATAAATCTTTAAAAAAAGATAGTAAGATTTTATCTGTTAAAATTCTCTATATTTTACCTTTATATTCTATTTACTTGATCCCTTGATTTTTTTATGTAGGCATGTTAAATGAGTCCATGTGGTTTTAAATCTGTCAAATTTTCTTTTTGTTTCTATCAGCTTTTACTGTATCTATTTCAAAACTACAATCAGTGAACAAAAGTTCATAATATGTCATCTTGGTATGTTGTACTATATGTCAACATAGAATATTACTCATTCTTCTACTTTATGATTTTACAACTTAGTTATACTCTAATATTAATATTGCTTTACTACCTTTCTACACCAACAGAGTAGATTAAATCTCCTCTGATTAAAAAGAAAAAGGAGATTTAACATGCTCAATTTGATGCCTGCAAAGGAGCACAACATTTCAATACCAGAATGTGAGAATGAAGAGATTGAAGAAATGTCAGAAACAGAATTCAAAAAACTGATCGCAGGCTTACTTAGAAGTAATCAGAAGCAAATCCATGAATTAAATAAATCCATACATGATACGAAAGAAATTAGAAGAAGAAATTAGAAAACTAAAAAACAGTGTTGAAGATTTATGGGATACAATCAAATGACCCAACATGGGGGTCCTAGGAGTTCCTGAAAGTGTGGAAAGAGAGTATGGATTAGAAGGTCTTTTCAGTAAAATAATTACAGAAAACTTTCCTAATTTGGAGAGAGGAACACCAAGTACAGGAAAAACATAGAACTCTTAATAGACATGACCAGAAAAGATCCTCACCATAACACATTGTAGTCAAACACTGCACAGTAAAACATAAAGATTCTAAAATGTGCACCAGAGAAATACCAGATTACTTTCTGAGGCTCTCCAATTAGACTCACACTGACGTTTCATCAGAAACCCTACAGGCTAGGAGAGAATGGTGAGATTTATTCCAAGTCTTGAGAAAAAAAAAAAAAAAAACAACTGTCAACTCAGAATATTGTACCCTGCAAAGCCTTCATTTATGAATGAAGGTGAAATAAAGACCTCCCATAACAAAAGAAATTGAGAGAATTTGTCACCACTCATTCAGCCTTACAACAGATGCATAAGGATGTACTGCACATAGAAACACAGAAACATGGTCATCACTATAAAAGAAGGTGAAGGCAAAAAATCTCCCAATAAAAGTACAAAGGAAATCCAAGGTAAACAATAGGAACATTTATGGAAAAACAGCCAGGAAACTGAACTTACTCTGGTTTTTCTTCTATAGTCCCCTGGATTTCAGAATATCCTGTTACTGGGAATCTAGCCACATATTAAGGCAATCTATTTTTGAATCTTGTTAAAACAAAGACATTGATTATATGGCACCATCTTTTTTTTCTTCCTTTTCTTATAACACACCATTTGTGTGATTACAATGTTATATCTTAATTCTTATGTCTTTGCACTCTGGCAAAAAAAAAAAAAAAAAAAAAAAAAAAAACCCACAACTAAATGAAAGATCTCTGCGAGTGAGATCCCAGTAGAAAGAACAGGGCCATCAAAGAAGGAGGTACCTTTCTCTGAAGGGAGGAGAGAACTTCCACTTTGACTATGACCTTGTCTAAATAAGATCAAAGTTGGCGAACTCAAAAGGCTTCCATAGCCTTGGCAACTCGCGACTAGAGCCTAGGAAGATTACTGATGCCATAAACAAGAGTGTCAAATTGTTAAGTCAATAACAGGAGTCACTGTGTGCTTACTCCTCATGTAGGATCTCTGTCCTTAATGTGTTGTCCAATGTGGATTAATGCTATAAGTAGTACTCAAACAGTATTTTACACTTTATGTTCTGTGTGGGTGCAAACTGATGAAATCTTTACTTAATATATACTAAATCAATCTTCTGTATATAAAGATAATTGAAAATGAATCTTGATGTGAATGGAATGGGAGAGGGAGCGGGAGCGGGAAATGGGAGGGGTGCAAGTGGGAGGGAAGTTATGGGGGGGGGAACAATTGTAACCCATAAACTGTACTTTGGAAATTTATATTTACTAAATAAAAGTTAAAAAAAAGAAAAAAAATTCTTTTGTCTTTGGGCAGAAGAGTGCATCAGTTATTTTTAATGAATTTTTCCCTGTCTTTGAAGCTCCGTCTGTGTGTTGTTACCACAAACGAAAATACCTGGGTTTGCATTACTTGAATACTTGAAAACTGAAATTGATAAGATTTATTATGTAATGAATTATATTTTTATTTCTGGAAAGGATGAAAATAATGATAGTGCTTATAAGCACTGTGAACCCTTTTGTGTTTGAGCATCCAAAATTCAGTGTTTACCAGATCTCTCTCCTGGAATCCTGCTCTTCTTTTCTGGGCTTCATGCATTTACTCTTACTACTGATGCTGTAGAACAGCAGGGTTAAAGTGTCATTCTGTCTGTGTTCACTATGAATCCCATCGCTTTTCTAGTTAGGAAAAAAATAGTCTCAAAAATACTTAGTGTCATTTTTTTGGTTAATATTTTACCCACTAATGATATTTTATATACCTTTAATCATTTAACAAAGTGTCTATAAAATTTAAAATGTTACATATTGTATTTGA